GGCAAACCCTAATTTGTGAAACCTAAGGCGTATCAATATATTACTAAATATAGAAGTTTAGATGTTAAGTATGTATTTTCAATAGTTTTAGGTGTTATGTATGTAAAATTCCATTAATTTTAATGACCACTTATTTATTATTTCTCTGTTCATGTCGCAATGAAAACATTTAATAGTGCCAAACACATTAGGAATATAGAAAACCAAGATATGAGGTGGATTTCTTACCGATCCGAAATAAGTAGCTGCTAAGGCTTTTGTAAGCTCTGTTTTACCAACACCGGTTGGCCCACAGAAAAGCATAGCAGCAATTGGTCTATTAGGATCCTTGAGACCAACACGCGATCTCTTTACAGCTCTAGAGATTGCATTGACAGCATCATCTTGGCCAATAACACGTTTTCTTAGTTCCTCATCAAGACCCACTAGAAGCTTCATTTCATCTGCAGTGAGCTGCTTAACAGGAATGCCCGACCACAACGAGGCAACCGTCGCAATTTCTTCAGGTCCAACAATGACAGGCCTGAACAAACGAACATTTTCACAAGAAAACGGTTATGTTAAGTTTGACTAACGCTGCACAGAATTTTGAAGAAAGTTACATAGTAATGATGAGAAAACGAGCTTAAGAAAATACCAAAAAAATTGCAACTTCATCATAATACAATAGCTCTTCCAATCAGGAAATTAATCTTATTCAGAATTTCCATTCCCTCACTTTAGAAACAATTATAAGGATTTGATAGCAAAGTTACATACTCTTCTTCTGACACTGAAGGAGCAGGTGACTCCGAGATGCCTCCCATCAAGTCATGACCATTTGAGCTGTTCCTACTAGCGGTATATTTCAGCTTATTTTCCAGCACCTGAATAAAGATGATACAATGCAGCTGAAGCTACAAAACTAGGCATATATAATGGCATATCAAAAAATCCATATAATAAAGAAGTATTACCACTTGGTGCATCGCCTGTACAGCTCTTATTTCCTGCCAATAATCATCAGGTGACTTGGACAGTATGGAAGATTGTTCTTCCTTCTTTCTCTTAAATGCATTCATTCGGGCCCTACTGCCAGCTTCGTCTAGTAAATCTATGGCTTTGTCAGGAAGATGCCTATCAGGTATATATCTAGCTGAGAGGTATACAGCTGCGTTAATGGCTTCTAAGGTGAATAGACATCTATGATGGTTTTCATACTTCTCACGAAGGCCCATCAAAATCCTCACAGCATCCTCCTATGTAATGTTTAAAGAACAAGTTAAATTTTATAAAAAAAAAAGTGACGACAAAATTAGAAAAATTTATAAAAATATGCAAGGCATACCTGGCTTGGTTCATTTATAAGAACAGGTTGGAATCGACGTGCCAGAGCTTTATCCTTTTCAAAATGTGTCCTATACTCATCTAGGGTTGTAGATGCAATGCACTGGAAAAAATCAAATAAAAAGCACATTCAAGATCACTTAAGCTGCAACAAATAACATAAAAATAGATGGAGCACAGAAACACATAGAAGCATTGAATGCGCAGGATACTTACAATTAGGGGTGTAAGTGAGCCGAGCCGACTCGTGAGCCGGCTCGAACTCGACTCGTTAACGAG